AAATTTTATTTTATAGTTCAATTTCCATGTGATCTGAACTATCTTTAATTTATGGACACGAGTGTATATAAGATGATTCAGCACGGCGGTTTTAATTTTGGTGGGGAGGCATAGCGACCCATGTTTGAAAAAAGCACAGGAACCATTTTTGGAAATGTCTTAACACACCGCTGAGGCATTTTTTCCTTCTAGACCTGCTGTTCGAGTGCACGCGAATCAAAACTTTATCTTTTTTTTAATTTATAGATAATTTTATGTTTTTTAATAAATATTTTCGAAAACAGCATTCAAACAAGCCCAGACCTTCACAGTTTTATCATAATTTATTGATATGCCGATTGACTTGCAGAGTTGACTAATTTGGCAGCAACAATCAGTATATTACAATAAAACAACCATTCCTGGGCCTGCTTGAATGCAGTTTTTAACTGTCATTATAAGAAAACATGAATTTATAATTAAATTTTGATAATGCAACGCTTCAAATGCGCGTGAGGGTAAAGATCATAATGGAGAAACGCCTATAGAGGCGTATGAATGTTGATTAGGTCATGGAGTTGCTACGCATTCTATATTATGTGTTCTATCATCTCTCCAAATTTATAACCACTGCGTTGGGTCATCCTGCATATTCAACTTAATTAACTCAGACATGATTTATGATGAATGTTTCAAAATATAATTCTTTTAAAAACAATATTAATTTTTTAGTCAGTTAAATGTGAAGTAGCTATGAATGGAAAGAACTGAAAATAACGTTCACAATAAGTTATTAAAATTCAAGCAAAATAAAGTAATCCACAATTCATAATGAATACACATCCAAGAAATACTTTCCAATTTTTTCAACCATAAAGATGTTTCACAATCACTGTTTTTAAGTAAAAATAATACAAAAAATAGGCAATATATTAGTATTTAAAGAACAAAAAACAAGAACTTTGTGAAAATCAGAGGAATAATTATCAATATCAATCATAGTTAATTGTAATAAATAAATTTAATTATAATAATAAATATTGTAATAAATTTAAGCGCTCAATATACGTAATATTTGGCAGACACAACCCAAGCTTTGTCTCACCAGAGTGCAGAAAACTAATTACAAATAATCTGACACAATATATATATCCTCATTATTATGATATATGAATTATTATGATATGACTCATGCTATGATTTCATACCGGTGTATTCGGGGAAACAGATGGTGAGAGGAGACTTTCGAATTTTTTCTTCGAACAGATCTTTCTTGTTGAGGAAGAGGATAATCGAAGTATCTGTGAACCACTTGTTATTACAAATAGAGTCAAAGAGCTTCAGACTTTCCTGCATCCGGTTCTAAAACACAACAAATTAAATTAAAATAACAACATTGTATGCAATAAAAACAGAAAATTTAAATTGTTCCAACACTTTGATTTCATTCATGATTGAAATACGTAAAAAGGGTTATAAACTAATTTATCTCATACAACCTTTATATTTCATTGGGTTCCTGTAAGTGTCGATTCAGAAGCCAATCAGGTTCGACAAACACGCGCGACGTCATTTACAGGTAACCAATTAAATCTGATTTAAATCACATGGTTAGACTTTGTCACTTTACTTCTTCTCGAGTTGCAAGTACCCAGTTTCACATAGTTTCAGCTTGTGTTAATTTTTTGAGAACGTCTGGTCACGTGTGGTAGTGTAAGGGGAAAAAAAATACTGAAAATGTGAAACAACTTTGGAAAATACGTCTGTTTTGAAATAGAAATATGATGAACACTTTTAGAAAAAAATTCCGTAAAGTTAAGGGTTTTTATCAAGGTTGTAGTTGGACCTATGTTAGGATAAGTTGAAGAAATACTGGTATATTGAATTTTAGAAAAATCGTATATTTAAAAAATTCCATTTCTCTGGAACTATTCATCTGTATTCGCTAAAATTTTGTTTTTTGCGTGTAAAGTTACGTACTTTAAAATGATGTAAAAAATTGTATACTTTACAATTAAAACTTTTTTGACTACTAATAAATAAAAAAATAATGATTATTTAAGAGTTTTTCCTGGCATGGAACTATCTTTGGACAAACGAATTTTATAATTGCGTGCTAAGATATTTTTCAATTCGTTTCAATTGTTCTCCAGATATGAAGAAATACAAAAAAAAGTAAAATTATCATTAAGGAGTCCAAACTCTTTGGGTCGCTCACCTGAACAAGCTATGCGGACCATTTTTTCTAGATTGCGGCTAGTTTTGGGGTCAAAAATCAGAATCCGTTGAAAAAAATACGTATCTATTATAAAAAGTACGTTTTGGGTTCTGATTTCGTTATTCAAAATAACATGTACACTTATTAAATAGCATATCTGAGGTCACCCTGTAGAACCATTAAGATTCAGCTCTAGAACGGGAAAATCCGATTATTAGATCAAAAGTTATTCTAGGTGGTCCCTTTTTTTGGTGCATTGTACATTTTAAGATTAACTCAGCATTGAACCATGAAATTGATACTTAAGACTCTTTGATTCATTCAAAGTTCCCCAGAATGTAACTGACTCGAATCAGGCATCTGTTTTTAGCATATCTAATATTATAATGTTTTTTTAGCGTACATTAGTATCAAAAATGGTATCAACTATTTTACACCAAAATTAGTGTAGTGAAACATCCCTTCCTTGGTGTTTCTCCGAACAAAACATCAGGAGTGTTACTTTTCACTGCTTTTGGTGTAAAGAAGTTGCAATTAATTTTGGTAGGCAGTATTACAGAAACTTATACCAAAATAAAAATTATGATTCAAAATATTAAAATTCATACCGAATATAAAATTATGATCCAAAATATTTAAATTTATGCTAAAATTGAACCGATTATGAATATATTATACCAAAAGTTACGTAGTGAAACACCTCAGATACTTCCTTGGTGTTTGGTTTAGTGAAGCACCACACATACTCCCTTGGTGTTTGGTCTAGTAAAACATTCCCAGATAGCAACATAAGGTTCATTTTAACTCAGCAAAACCCTTTTAATGTAAACCTAATAAGATTTGTTGTGCTGTTTATGTGTAAATCTTCTAACTTTAAAACGAGATCTGTGACGATTTGCTTTATTCTGTGCACATTACCCTAATTCAAAACCTTGGAATATAACCTTCTATATAAAAACCTTAAATCGAGGACGACTTAGGGTTTTCAAGCGTGAAAACATCCTTTAATAAAGCTAGTCTCAAGCTGCATGGGTGAAAGCCCTTATATAGCAAGACGGAAAAGAGAAAAACCTGGTACGAATAACATTTCATTCCAGCATTTTTTCGAAAAAAATGAAATATCTGTAACTATCAAGATTTCTTTTATAATTCTGGCATATATATAAAACTGCTTCTTTTCCAAGATAAAGTAGATATTGTTGAAAAATTTAAAAAAAGAATAAGTAAACTCCTCCCCAAAACTAGCTATAACTGAAATGNCATAAGTTTAAAATTACTAAATAAATTCAAATAAAATCATAATAACACAAATAAACCGCAACAGATCAATTTATTTGGACTAAAATATATGAAAACAGACAAGAAGATGACATAATTTGCTACCTGATTGTTGACGTCACAAAACCTATGACGCTGATTGGTTAAGGGAGAAAAAACTTGGATGGAAAGTATAACATGCTCTACTATCGTCCAAGAAGTTGGACCAAGTTCTTGGATGTCTGTTTACACGATCAAAGTTCAAAGCAAAACAAGCTTCCATCAATATCAATCAATCTCTGTCCAAGAAATTGGATCGTCTAAACAGGCCTTAAGTAAACTCCTCCCCAAAACTAGCTATAACTGAAATGGTTTTACTACCAGCCTTTCCTCTTTTCCGTCTCGCTTTCACCCCTGGTCTCAAGGTGAACATAATATCTTAAATCAAGGTAATTATATGGTTTCTTTTCACAAAGCCTTGTATGCTCAGTCGAAATCCACCTTCTCTTGGAATTTTAATGGACAATGCAATTTGATGTGACGTCAGTGTGGCGCCGCTGGTGTGACGTCAGCTGAAACGTCATTATGGACCTTAAGTGACGATAATTTTTAAAAAAGCTTTAAAAATAATTTTTAGCTTTTTGGGATGAAAGGTTTGAAACTGTAATATTTTTTGCTTTATTCAAAAAAAGGTTTTTAGTACAAACATTTTCGTGTGAATGAAAAGAAAATTCCAACGCAAGGTTGCCATAAGGTTACGTACTTTTTGGGATTAGGAGAGTTTCTTTTTACTACTTTTGTCGTAAAGAAGTTGCCACCATTTCCGGTGTTCGTTAATATTGAAATTCATAATAACAATAAGATTTGATATGCATAAGAGTCAGTAAAGTTATTTCTACGATATAATTTAAAGTAAGAACAGTTGGTTTAGGATGCATACACACACTAATTCTTAAAATAAAATTAATTTCAAAAACAAACATAAGTGCCCAGAGAAAATTTTAAGATGAATGCGTATTAGGTTTTACAGAATAGGAATAGATAAAAATTAAATAATAAATTATTTAATATCATTGACATATTTTTGAAAATTAGAATATGATTATCTTTATTATACAACTAAATAAAATCATAAATTTTGTAACGGCGAACTTTTGTTGTCTAAGCAGCGTGAGAAATAACAAACTCAAGCTATTTCGTACTCGATTGTAAACCATCTGGGTATTAACAATATCCGAAGTATGCCAAAATTGGTGTTTTTGAAAGCAAAAGCACTTCAAGAAAGGTGCGAATGCAAGTGAGTTAAATGCAAGCCTTTTAAATAACTACACCCTTTGATATTAACTTGAACGTTCGATATGATATGAAATAAAGTGTTCCAACATGCAATTTTTGAGTTGTTCGACATGAAATTTGAAGAGCTATTACATCACCGTTTTTACCGTGGAGTAAAATGTACTTTATCCGAATAGATCAATATTGAAAAATAATACCGATATCTTAAGCTAACTGATATTGTGCAAAATTTCTGAGAAATGTAGCTAAATTAAATCATACATACGTAACTATCCCAGATAGTTAGACCTTTAATCATTTATACCATGCAAACTTGCTGCAATGTTGAAAAGTTGTTAATGTAAACACAATGCAAAAAATTTGCATGATTCAGCGTATTCTTAATTTTATCTTGCAGTTAAAAAGTACGGATTTTAAACGTATGGTTGAAAAGTTGAAAGTAGTTAACTATTAGAGGTACGGATTTTACAGTGATGAATAGACTTACAGTCGTCTCGTCTTCGTGCAATACTTGATCATATTCGCTCATCGCTACGCAAAAGATAATGGCAGTTACGTCCTCGAAGCAGTGGATCCATTTTTTCCTTTCCGATCGCTGGCCGCCTACATCAAATAACCTGGAAAAGACGGTCAATATTGCATTATTTTATGATTTTGGGGAAATGGAAACATGGGAAAAACAATAAAAGAAAATGCAAGATCTAGGAATATACTGGTTGTTGAGTTCTATCTCATTCTTTTACTTCTTACCAATTTGAAAGATAATAAAAATATTGTCAACAGATGGCGCCGCTGATTGAAAAAATTTTACCATCTATTTTTTCTGCTGCATGTCACACTTTTTCAACCAAAGCACTAGCTTGGACGTCTCTTGCAATCAGGCTGTTGCTGTAAAAAGTGATTGTTTCGAATTTTTTCCCATTTGGTAGTAAACTTTGTAACTTGGAGTAGAAAAATATCATAGCTTTTTAAGCAGAACGCAGCTAACTGTACCTGCTTTGGTTTTTATTTAAACGAAAGCAAACACTAAAATATTAAACTATTTAAATTGATGGAATTTTGTAGAGTTCAGCAAAATATATTGAATCTTAATTTTGATAGCCATAAACATAAGCTCTTTAATTTAATAATATGACAATTTTTTTTCAACATTTAATTTTTTTAAATATATTAGCAAAATACATTTATTTAAGAGTATTTTTATTTCTAAAACGATATTTACATATGTTATTTTTAATCAGGTATTTACTAATTATAGAACTATTCCCCTTTTCCACACTCTGGGGTAAAGTGGGTGCATCAAAACATGTTATTTTTAATGCATTACTGTAAGAAAACAATCAAACAAAATAGATAAGTTAAGCTTTATATTTAATCTATAAGAATCCAATGTGCATAAAATGTAACAAAACTTTTGGTAAAATAAATTATGTTTATTGTTAATGATTTTAAAAATGATTGTTAATCATTGAAAGGATGTTAAATGAGTAAATGATTGTTAAATGACAATTGATTAATGATTGTTGTTGTTGTTGATGATGATGATTGATTGTTGATTAAATGATGCTGAATGACTGTTAAATGGTGTTATTGATTGGTAAAATAAATGATGCTGATAGCTTGATTTTAGAGCCTTATTCTTCTTCTTCAAAAAAAGGTTGATTTTATGCACACTTTACCCCACTTGACAATTCTTAATCACAAGCCGGACTTCATTAAAGAAAGATAAATTTAATCAAATTTTTCAAATAATTTTACTCACAGTTTTGCCTAAAAATCTGATAGTCTGGTCTCTAATAATTAGATGACAACTCAACAGTTTTAATGTTGTAGCTGTAGACACTGTTTGAACATTTTTGAAAATGTTTATTAAACAAAAATGACCTTCTTTTAGCGATAAAAATGTGTCGATAAGGAAACTTTAGGTAACTAATTTTGCTTCATTTTCGATGTTTTCAATTCCAGTTATCATAACTTAAACTAATGATAACTTAACTGAACATTATGCACTCAGAAATTTTAATGTTACTGTAACTTGAAGGTAAGACAGAAACGATGATTATTTTACACTTTTGAAAATCAAAAATTCTGAACCATGTTCAATATATAATTACATTTTAATTTCAGAGAAAAAATAATTCCTAGTGGTAACAAATTTGATGTTTAATATTTGTTTCTTAGTTTATTACACGCTATGATGTGATTTCTAAATTAAAGACCTAATAGACATGTGATATCGTACATAAGCAATAGTTAAATGTTTCATAAACATTGTACTTTAATCACTGCTTCACTATCATTTCAACTCGCACTTCGGTTAACGTTCTGAAAAGAATGGTAACAGGTTGGCAGCTATACTACGAACGAAACATAACAAAAAATATTGCTACAAATGAAATAAAAAGATGTGACATAAGTTCTAAAATGGTCATAATACTAAAAATAATATGTTTTTCCCACTTTTTATTAACAACCATAAGAGTTTTGCGAAGAAAATCCTTTCACTCCTTTTTCAGTTTTCTTTAAATGGCACTCTTTGAATGATCATTTGTTCTCGTCTCTGTGAAACATAAATACTTTAAATAGCACTCTTTGACTGATCATTTGCTCTCGTCTCTGTGAAACATGAATACTTTAAATAACACTCTTTGAATGATCATTTGTTATCGTAACTCTGAACCATAAATACTTTAAATAGCACTCTTTGAATGATCATTTGTTCTCGTCACTGTGAAACATAAATACTTTAAATAGCACTCTTTGAATGATCATTTGTTCTCATCTCTGTGAAACATAAATACTTTAAACAGCACTCTTAGAATGATCATTTGTTCTCCTCACTGTGAAACATAAGTACTTTAACTGGCACTCTTTGAATGATCATTTGTTCTCGTCTCTGTGAAACATAAATACTTTAAACAGCACTCTTAGAATGATTATTTGTTCCCGTCACTGTGAAACAGAAATACATTAAACAGCCCTCTTTGAATGATCATTTGTTCTCCTCACTGTGAAACATAAATACTTTAAACAGCACTCTTAGAATCATTATTTGTTCTCCTCACTGTGAAACATAAGTACTTTAAATAGCAATCTTTGAATGATCATTTGTTCCCGTCACTGTGAAACATAAATACTTTAAATAGCACTCTTTGAATGACCATTTGTTCTCCTCACTGTGAATCATAAGTACTTTAAATACACTCTTTGAATGATCATTTGTTCTCGTCATTGTGAATCATAAATACTTTAAATAGCACTCTTTGAATGATCATTTGTTCTCTTCACTGTGAAACATAAGTACTTATATTTATGTTTCAAAAATATTCTGAATGTCATAAAAATCAATGAATAGCGTCTGACACGTTTTTGTTTAATTTCAACAATGTTGAAATTTAGTGGTAAAATCAACCAAAAAGGTATGAGAGAGAAAATTTCTATATAAAAGGAACAAAATCTTAAGCAAATGTTTTTTTTCCCTCCAATTATGTTTTGCATCTTCTATCGCACTAAAGAATGAATACGTTTGTTATACAACTTTAAAGAGTGATTGTTCTCCTCAATGGTATAAATTATACTTTAATTTTACAATTCAAAATATTTTGAAATTTTATTCAATGTCTACTCTTATTGTTTCTATTAACACATTTAAAATGACATAAAACGTATACAAAAAATGTATCTGTTACTAAAGTAAATTTTTTAAAAAAAATTAAAAAACTTTAAAAAAAGAGTTAACATATAATAATTAATAATAAAATCCTTATTAAATATTCAACGATAAATTCAAACACAACAATTAAGAGAGATTTAAAAAGAATACAAAAAGTGTATTTGTTATTAAAATAATCTTTCAAGAAACTTATAAAGTTAAAAACAAAGAGCCCAAAATATAATAAATAATAATAAAGTCATTTATTCAATAATAATTTCAATCATAATAATACAGAGTTATTCAGAAGGATGGTCTCAATGGTTTATTTACATCAAATATAAGTTGGATATACTACATAGAAAGGAAAAGAGGAAATTTTTTTTACCACAGCTTTTGGGGTGCATGTTCAATAGGAAAGCATTCTATTTTCCCGTCAAGGGTCAGTTAGATAATCAGTTGGGAGAGAAAGGTCAAAGGCCAGATCTCATGCCATAAAGCCTTGATTTCATGCCTTGAGAAGGGCTATTTTTCGAAGGCCAATGAATAACGCTTCACAATGAAATAACAACCGTCACAATGAAATAACGCTTTTTTTGAAAATAATATGTCATTTTCAGTACTGTTGTGAGTTTTATAACTGTTGTTGAACAGCCCAACCAGTTTTGAGATAACGGCTAGCTATCTTCAACTCCGTAGCCTTGTAATTTCGAACCCAATCCAGAAGACAAGGGAACTCCTGGATCGAGTATTGGGATAAATTTGACATCGTGAGAACTTTTTTCCTGAAACTAACCTGCATTTGCGTTACAGGGAGAGGAAAACAGCGAAAACTTCCCTAGGTTAGCTGAGAGCAAGAGGACTCTATCCCATGATCCGTCTATTACTGAGAAAATTTTACATCAGCACTGCGGTTTCAACTGTGGATCGCTGAGATTGAAACCCAGGTTAACTCGTTGGGAGGTAAGTGCTCTATCCCCTGAGCCACCACGACTCCCTGCTGTGAGTTTGCAACAGTTATTCACGACTGTAAAGTTACGTTTAGTCTATATTTAGCCAGCGCCCTCTATGCTAATTCCTAAAATGGCGCAAAAAGCCAAAATTAAGAAAAGCCACGGTTTTGTGAAAAGGAAAAGTGTTTTTTTAATGTTTCAATTATTTATTAATAATTTTTAAATTTTTTAATATTTCAAATTTATTTCAACGCTGTATTATCTGCCTTAAAAATTTGAGCAAAATTGTCAACTATTTATTGGCTTTAATAATTTTCATCGTGTTAAAATTTTGCCAATTGTCAATTTTTAAAAAAGTTTAATAACTTTTAAAGTATTTAAGTTACTTGCCTGCTCTAATGACCAGATAATTCGTTGCAGCAAGATGGTATGTGTAATAAAAAATTTTAGTTTTGCCTCAAGTAAACTGCGGTTTTTTTTAATTTTCCCTGGTAAAAAAAGCTTAAAAAACACTGCTAACAGTGCAAGACGCTGTTACCCAGCAACTCAAGTCATCGTGCTAAACCATTTCACAGTTGCGTATAACATAGTAACATGAGACTTTTGAAGAATGAGCTTGGCTACCTCCTAGAAGTTTGCCGTACAGAAAATAGGGGAAGAAATAAACACCATCCTCACCTAACTATGACCAAGCCCCTAGCCCCATTTTCCGACCTCGATCTTTTGATAGCCATGTAATTTCGACCCCAATTAGACGATAGGGACGGTGCCTGAGGTGGAACACCTTTCTCCAAACTTCCACACAAGAAGCAACTACAGGACTGCTAGCTTTGTAATTTTGATCATGGTCAGACGACGTGGACAGCACCAGAGGTGGCACAATCTCTCCAAACTTCCACACCACAACCAACAGTATTACTTTCATCCACAAAAGATTTAACATGCATTTGTTTGTGTATACATGCCGGTTTTGTCAGCAGCCAGGATTGAACTCACAACTCCCAACTCTCCAACCAGCAGTGCGAGCGACTCCCTAATGGCTCCCGCTTACGATGGCTTTGTTCTTAACGAACAAAGCCATCGTAAGCGTCGGGACAAATTGAACATTTACAGCCAGTGCTAAAATTTTTGTCCTCTTTTCGATAGTATATAGATTGATGTCCAACTTAAACTTTATTAAATGCAAATTAATTGAGTTCATCTTTCTGAGTGATTCATTGAAAAAAGGGGAACTAGGAAGAAATCAATTACTTGAAATTTAAATTTTTGAATGAGAAATGAACTTCTACTATTCCAGTAGTTTTTACTCGCGTTCTGAGAATATCTTGTTCTGTTGGCATGTAATCCTTCTTGCATAAGCGATCCAAATCATCCAGAAAACTGTAAAATAAAGATAACATAAAATAACATTCATAAAAACTGTTACTTATTTATTACTTAACTTCATACATTCAAAATAAATTAATAATTCAAAATAATAATAGATTCTGACAATTTAAATAATTGTTGTAATCTTGGGAGGAAATTCATATTCGACAAGGCCAAAATTATTTCCATCCTAGTCACATCAGCTCATCTTGATGCCCGAGAATCTTGTTTTATTCATATGAATACTGATTCCCTTGTTAATGACACTAGTTACTTACCCTCTTTCCATAGAACATGAAAATGCATTTTACCCCGATTTGCCCCTCGTCTGCCTCTGGGATTTTTCTTTTTCTTTCTCTCGGCAACTGTGGTTTGTTTATTTTTGTTTCCTCAACTTTATTTTTTCCGTTGGCAACATTAAATTTTTATTTTGTATCCCCTTTGTTTCTTTTCATTCATGTCTGGAAAGACTTGAAGATGGACACTTGCTTTTTGAGCATTTGAAACATATGGACTATTATTTCCGATTTGAAATTATGTGAAGCGAATTAAGTTTTAAATCAAGTAATATCTGACTGCTTCAGTTTCTTGGGATTATTTATTTAATATTATTGATTTTTTTATATGAAGACAGTACAGTACAGTCAGTTACAAAATCGAATTAAACCTTTTTTGAATTTATTAGAACACATTATACCAATGACAAGGTAAACAAATGTACTGTGCACACTAATAGGAAAACGATATTAAACTCTGGAAAATAATTATTTAGTTTCATGAAAAAATAGATAGTTAAATTGTTTTAATATATTTAATTTCGAGCTCCGAGAAGAACCACCTCGTATATTAAATAAATAATTTTTAGAAACTGTAACAGTAGGATATTGCTTGTTTGATGTACTTCATTGGCTTAAAAAATACGAAGATATAACTAAAAGTCTAAGTGTTTCAAGCCCTCAAAATAGGCACTCATTCTCTAGACTTACCTGATCTCAAATGATGTTTGTGTTTAATCAAGCAACACCTTTGACACGTTGTTTTAGAAGATTTTAATTACTTCCTTTCGTTTCACAACAACATTATGTATAACATTAATATAATATAAATTTTCAGAATTTGTTGAGAGAAAGAAATAAGAAATATATTTGATAAGTATCGCAAATTAATTTTTATGTGAGAAAAAAAAACTTTATCAAGTGTGGATAATTCTTAGAGAAGTTGATAAAAAAGGGACTTATGAGGGCAAAAGACAGTTTATTTGTCTAATGAGAATGCTTTGAGAACTTTTAAACTCGTTCTTAGTGATTCTGATTCCATTATTTGCTTTTATTGTTCTCGATTTGGTTTGTCAAATATTAAAAACTTTTTTTTCGTTAAACATTATATCTTCATATTTCCTTTTCTTTTTTTTCGATTAAGATTCTAAATTATTTAAGATGAAGCAGAGTGTTATAGGATATCTTACAAGTTTTACAGGGTTCCCGCGGTCCTTGAAAAATTTTAAAAGTGGTAGTAAATTTAGATCGATGCTACAGTATATTTTTTTAATTTTAACATACCTTTTTATCGTTGAGTGTTGGAATTTTCATTCATATATATATTTTTTAGTAAACAATTTTTAGTGGTGGCTACACAGAAATTAAAATATCAAAATTTGTTTTAATTTTGTTACCACTTTTTAAAATTCCCAAGGACCGTGGGAACCCTGTTTTATAATGGATAGAAATGTTTTCTTAACACATTGCTGCCCGGCAACTTTTCTGAAAATTACCCCATGTGTCCGGCTATTGTTTTGAAAGAGGATGTGGAAGAAAAACAATATAAATAAACTTAAAAAATGTTTTAATTTCTAATGCCGTGTGATAATAAGTTAACTATTACCTATGTGTAATGGTACACCACAAGTTTTGCAAATATATCTAATTTCGTAAAGTTAAAATAAATTGGTAGAGAATTAAATAGTAAAACTTGAAAAGTAAGATAAATTACGCCCACTTTTTAAAATAGTCACCACGAAAACACTGCTAACGAAAACGCGAGTTTACTCGTGACCGGTCACCAACGTTTGGTCACAAAAAAACGAGTTATCTCGTGACCGGTCACCAACGTTTGGCCACGAAAAAACGAGTTAACTCATGCCCGGTCACCAACGTTTGGCCACGAAAAAACGAGTTAACTCGTGACCGGTCACCAACGTTTGGCCACGAAAACACGAGTTAACTCGTGACCGGTCACCATCGTTTGGCCACGAAAAAAAGAGTTAACTCGTGACCGGTCAGCAATATGTTAATCACTTGCAAAATTTCAGAGTTGCTTACAACGGACATTTGAACAGTTTTAGGCACTTTAGTGATATTTTTAGTGAAATTGGGACCAGCGACAATTCTAACGCTTGTTTCTCAAGGCCTATAATAAGCTTTTAATAAATCGTGTTCCTAAGTTAGTTTCTAATATTCAATATCTCAGGGAATACTATTTTTGCTTCTTATTATAGAGAGTGATTTTATGTAAGATGGCATGATCATATAAAAACGCATGGAATATAAACGTGATTTTTCTTTAATACGTTTCTGAAAAGTAATATAAATAATATTAAAAAAGTTTTTCTTCTTGAAAAAGTAAAAATATATCTAAGGTGTTTCGTTACCATAGCACTTAATGTATATTTTTAGAATCCTTATTTAAAATGAAGAATAATCATTAGGGGTCGCTGATTAATATTCACTTATGGGACAAATAAAGACTCTTTCGAAGTCTACTGAATCACTACTGATGAAGACGGGATTGAAAACACAAAAATGATTGTCAGAGGAAAAAACGCATTGGTGTTTAAACGCAATTAAAAGAAACATCTCTATCTTTCATCAGACAATCAACAGGTTTTGATGTTAATAATTTCATCCTCCTCAGATGAGATTCAACGGAATTTGTTTTTTTCCCTCGCTTAAAATTTGCTATCCTTAATGTAAATACTTTTTTTGACTTCATTCTTGACAAGATGTCTTAAAATGAATTTTAAAAGTGGTTATAACTTAGAACTTTTTTACACGTATGCAAGCGTTTTCGATTAGATACCTAAATTTTATCAAAAAAAAATTTTTTTTCAGCACACCTATCTGAAAATATTATGAAATTACTTTAATATGATTTTTTAACGTAGCTGATAAAGTTTTTATAGTATGCGATTTAAGCATTTCTAGATTATGTTAACATGATTTTATTGAATTTAAAAATTACAGTTTTTGGTTACATAAGTAAAAAAAAACTTTTTAACTACAAGCAAAACTACATCTAGCAAGATTTAGTCATCATGTAAATAAAAATCATAATGAATTCCCATACTTAATCGTATTTGTAACTGGAAAATCAGATCCTTACATAAAATGATATTGAAAAATATTATTATAGTCGAAAATATTATTATAAGTATTCATGTAAATAAAAATTAAATTAGGAATATTATCGCGCCTATAGGAACTACCTTAAACATATAATCAAATGAGAATTATATTAGGCATGTTAATATACTAGGATTATTCTAAGCATTTTTTCATAAAAAATTACAGCACTGGCCAAATTATTTTTGTTATCTATAATTCAACGATATAAGACCAAAACAAAAATTATTATTTTTCAAACATGTATCATTTACATATTACTGCTAGACGATGATCATTTTAGCATATTTTGGGATACCTTTTTTTCACTGCTGCCTTTTGTTTAAAATATTTTTTAATTCATATCAATGTTTTCTTGTTTCATATTTTTACAAACCTGCGGCAGTTTTGTTTAATTGAGTTTCATAATTCTAACTTTGTGTATTTCAGGTCAAAATTTTATTAATTTAAACTTTGATCTGAAATTTAAAAAAATGGCTTTATGAAACCCAATTAAACAACACTGTCATAGGTCACTGTGACAACATGTACAGAGATGCCAACTTGCTCCGGACAGCAAATATATATTTTAAAGTGGTAGTTTATCAATTGTGATTCTTGGTTTAATAAATTCAATTTAGCACATTTTTATCCACCTCTGTTTCTAAACAATTTGTAGGTTTATACAATTTACCACCATTTCAACAATGTGATGCTAAACTTTTTCAAAAACTAGCAAGATCTGTCTAATATTTGTTAATTTAGTTTGTAGTTATTTATCGTTGAACTAGACGTGCAAGCTATGTAAAATTAGTATGGCGTTCAACATGTTAAAAACTTAAAAGCAATTTGATCAGTGAATTAGTTGCACTTTCATAAATTAATAAAATTCATTGTAATGAACGGAAGAGAGTGTTCTATTTTGGACTGGTGAAATTGTTTGCGCCATATAACGAAGAAATTTTGCATTCAGTATTGATACCTATAAAAACAGGTAATATCAATTGAGCTGGTTTCATTTTTAAGCTTTCACAGAGATAAATTAGATTACCTTTTGCATTTCATTACATTACATTACCGTTTAATAAATTCAATTTAGTAGATTTCTATCCACCTTATTTCTAAATAATTCGTAGGCTTATTTAATTCACCACTATGTCATGCTATATCTTTCATAAAGCAAGCAAAACTTGTCAAATATTTGCGAAATTTACTTTCTAGTTATTTACCGTTTCTTCTAAAATTATTTTGGCGTGTCCGGAGCAGTTGTCATCTCTGCATGTATGCGAATGCTTTTAAAAGAATTATTTTCGAGAAATTGTCATTGCAAACTTGAAATTAAAGAAAAACTGTTATAATTATTTGGATGTAGGTATATTATCCTATAGGAAGTATGTTATGCTATGCTCACTATTTGGCGCTATCATTGAGCTGGTATTCATTGGATCTCCCAAAACATTCCTGAACACCTGTGTCGGCCCAGAGTCTTTTCATTGCCAGAGTAAGTTCTTCTGAAAATGGCTCTGTGTCTTCCATTCTCGATACTACATCGAATACCATTTTACCATCAGCCTAAAAAGGAATAATTATTATTTCCTATACAATATTGTATGGTTAAAATTGTTTAATTTTAATAACAATATGTGAATTGAAATATTTGATGAACTATATCATATGATTATCATACATAGTTCATCAATTTTACATTTTATTTTGCTCCATGATTATTCATAATCATGGAGCAATCATGGATTATTCATAATCATGGATTGGCGGCATACCAGATGATTGGTATGCCGCCAAATCCCCCGGATTATCCCTGCAGTGCACTTGTCCTAGATTTGCTCAAACAGCTTTGTCAAGGCTTAGGACCGGCCATATTAAGTATTTGACCTTCAGAGCGAAAGAAAAGACTTATGCCTATTGTCATTGCTCGGCAATCGCTTCTCCATCTCATCTTTTGGATTGCATTGGTGCCTCTGTGAGGCAACTGATGAGTGATGGAGAGATTGTGTATGACTTGCTGATGCGACATGATCTTCTAGACTTGGTCTAGGGCTCTTGACCAAGGGGATAAGCAACAACAACAACAACATTTTATTTTGCTATCAATGTATAAAAAATTGTCAAATGAATTTTTCCCGTGTCAATATTGTATGAAGCAAAAAATTAAACAAAAATTCGATTTCATTAGTGGCAGATTCGAGGTTTTGGCATGGATTCTATGATATGGAGAAAAAAGTCATACATGACAGTATGACAAAAGTATGTCATAGATGACAGTATGACAAAAGTATTTCATACATGACAGTATGATCTCTTTCAGTATGACAGTCTTTCTGCACTCAAAAAAGTGCACTATACGTTGCAAGATGTTTCGTCCAGAACTTAATAAATCAGAATAAATCTGATTCAAGAGAAAGGAATCTGTAACGCTTAAGCAGTATTGGCTCTTGAGTGATTTGTAACTGCATCTTATCCTACAACAAATGCTGGTTGCATATTTTACAACACGTTATTAAAAAATAAGGTTTACAGAAAATACACATTTAATTAATCTAATATAAATAAAATCCCACCAAGTTTGAAAATCTGGTAACCTTTAATAGGTTATTTAATATTCGATATCGTATAAGCAATACGTAACTACAGTTATCAGATCCATATTACCTATCGTATACTGATTTAACAAAAAACAATTCATAAGGAATTCCTTAAAAAACTATTAACATTAATTTTATTCCGATTATTAATAATAAATAACACAACAAAAAACAATTAATAAGGAATTCCTTAAAAAACTATTAACATTAATTTGATTTTGATTATTAATAATAAAGAACACAACAAAAAACAATTCATAAGGAATTCCTTCAAAAACTATTAACATTAATTTGATTTTAATTATTAATAATAAAGAACACAACAAAAAACAATTCATAAAGAATTCCTTGAAAAACTATTAACATTAATTTGATTTTGATTATTAATAATGCAGAACACAACAAAAAACAATTCGTAAGGAATTCCTTAAAAAACTGTTAACATTAATTTGATTTTGATTATTAATAATAAAAAACACAACAAAAAACAATTCATAAGGAATTCCTTAAAAAGCTATTAACATTAGTTTGATTCTGATTATTAATAGTAAAGAACAAAACAATATGGAAATAAATAATTGTAAACATCAACATGAATCTAAAAGAAGGGATTGGATGCACTTTGTGTTACGTAGACGAAAGCAAAAAACAACGTGAATAAAAATTAATATCTTCACGCTGTTTTTTCTTGTTTTAGTATTATTATGAATAAAAGTTTGGAAAGTTAAATAAATTATGATAAATATGTAACGATAACTAAATAATGGTTTTCATAATTATGATTAACTTGCTATAAAGTAATATAAATTACAAAATAAGTTAACAAATTATGCCTTAAAATAAGTTATAACATATATTTAAGCTTATAAAGTTGTATAAAATATGTTCTAAACTTTTAATCTATAAACTTAACTTTTTTTTTATCTGGAAGAGTATTTATTTATTTTTATGATCATTTCTTATTGAGTTTTAATACTACACTGTAGCAAATTCAATATCAAATTACTGTGAAAAGTACCGGCACCAAGACTTTTTATCGTAAAATCCATTTTTACTGGAACATGTTACGAAACAAATAATCTAAGATACCGTAATTTTCAATTACAATAAAATTACTGAATCATTCCAATTAAATAAATATTATTGTAAAAATTATGATATAATATTTTAAGATAAAAATGGATTTTTGCGAGTGGTGCAAATCAGGTGCCAGTTCTTGCAATTTGATTCGAAATTTTTTACAGTGACTAAGGAAAAGTGCAACTGCTTATTTCATGCTTTTATAACATTTTATATATTATGTAATATATTAATACTATTTTAATAATATATATATTATATGAAAAATTTTTATCACTATTTTATTATTTTAAATCACGTGAGTAAGAAATAGGTAATAAATTCATATAAAATTGCTTGATTATTTTTAAAACTCAAGTGGCTATATTAAAATGTGTACGGGAGCACAGAGGTGCATAAAAATAGTAAATTAATGGGTAAAATTGTTTCTGAACAATAAGTTGACGAGTAGTTTAATTTTTCATTTAATCAATACATATTTCATCGGGAGCTGGAGCTAAGTCAGAAGTGGCAGCCGGCTTTACAGGTCACCTGATAAATTGGCACAATGCCAACTGAACATGGTAAGATAGATTTCTTTTAAACTTCTTGAGCTTTCGAATGACCATCAACACTTCTCAAAGCAAGAACATTTTCTTATTAGAAACTAATTTTATCGTTAAAAAGTAGAATTCGCTGGGAAAAATGTTCTTTTTTGCGACAAACGCTTATAATAAGAGTTATAATTTATTGCATTATTTGCTCTCATTAATTGTAATAAATCTTAGTAATTAATTAATGTAAGGTATTATGTTTAACCACATTTCCGTTAAAATTAAACCATAGTAACTTTTAATCAAGCTTCAGGATTTAATAAGAATCGTGTTTGATTCTATTAATTATTCTCTTTAATTAAAATAAGCCTATAATTCTAATTATTTAGGGTGTAAAGTATCAAAGATAGACCTATGCTGAACTTCCCTCATGTAGAGTATGCCAAGAACTGCCATTGATTTGGTAAGGCTTCTAATGGTCCTTAGATATAAACAAAAGTATAGAATCATTGCTACATAGCAGCTACAGTAAAGTCTTTCTCAAATACCGACTGCCAAAAATGACTTTTAAAAAGTTAAGTATTTGTATTTTATCTAAAAAAATAACCTTTCTTACACTTTTTATTATACAATGTTATAAAATCTCTCTTTTTATAAATTTTTGATACTATTCTGCTCCTTAATTTTCACTAAACTAATTTTAAAAAGGTCTTAAATAACCGTACTTTTAATGAAATGACGCCTACTTAAAAATTAGAACATGTTTTTTAAGCAGGAGTAACTTTTTTTGTAGGTGGTTTTATCTTCCTAATTAGCACACCTACACTAAATTGCTTTTATTTCTAAAAATAGCGCAAGATTATAAAAATAGTTTATCCTTCAAACAATTAAGTGATTTCTAAATTGAAAACTTAACTTTGAAATTTTAAGTATTTAGAAACAGGGAGTAGATTGGTTGAGTGGATAACCTTGAGTTAATTAAACTCTAATTTTATTGTGAAACTAAACAAACAATTTAAAAGCTAAATACAGAATGTTTAAAAAGGTAATAAATCTGATAATTTTAAAGATAATTTATTTGACAAAGTATCTAATTAATTCTATTTTTTTACTGAAAGTAAAAACTTAAGAAAGAGTTTCTTTTTTAAATACTTCTGTAAGTAAGTATGGATAATAATACACCAAAAAATATAGTTAATATTTTTAATTTGGAAGACATGAAATTTTTAGTGAAGAATAAAGGAAACCTTTAAACAAATATACTTCTTTTAATATTTTCAGTAATTAAATATTTTCGAATAAATATTTTGCTTATTCAGCTGTTTAGGTTAGCTCAGTCTGTACCTTCAATGTTGAATATTGCTACAAAAGGGTATAATATACTTTTTTTAAATTTTGAAGATAAAAAGATTTCGTAGAATGAGAAACAAATATTTATAAAATAGCAATAATATTAATATTTTAGTCAGGAGAGCGGTCCAAAGTGTGAACTCCTTAATGTTAATTTTTCTTTTTGAATATTTCACCATATCACGAGAGCATTTAAAGCAAATTAAAAAAAGTTTTGCTCGCAATTATAAAATTCATTTATCCAAATAAGATTTCATGCAAAATATAACTTTTAGTAAAAATTTATTATTTTTTTTAATAATTATCGAAAAAATTTTGAATTGTACAATTTTTTACATTATTTTAAAAAGTGCAATTTTAAATGACAAAATACAGAGTTTGTGCGAAATTGGAGGAGTAGTTCCTTAGAAATCGAATTAAAAAAATATGACTTTTTTCGAAATTCGATTTCTCAGGAATTATTCAACCGATTTTTTAATTTTTTTAAATCGCCATTTAAAAATGCATTCTTTGAAATGATGAATAAATTTGCATAGCTAAGATTTCAAAATTTTTTCGACTATTTTTAAACAAATTAATAAAAATAATAATTATTTACAGAAAGTTATATTTAGCATGGAATTATTTTTAGATAAACAAATTTTATAATTGCACTCAAAATTTTTTCAATTTGATTTAAAAGTTCTCGAGATATGGTGAAATACGCAAAAAGTATAATTAACATTAAGGGGTCCAAACATTGGACCGCTCTCTTGACATAAATATTGGGACTGTATTTCTAGATTACGGAATACGTATTTTTCATTGTTCAAATAATGTTCGAAAAACATTATCAAAATCACTTCTACAGTTACTTTTTAGTTATATAAGGCATATATGCTTCTAAATTCCAGTATATTGGTTAATTTGATTTCAGTTTTTGGAGCAAAAATCAGTTTTGGCTATATAACACTTCCAACTAGGTAGATATTATTAAACTAGTTTCACAATTCTGTTTTGGGTTAAAAACTAGATAGATGGATAAATGCCAATGTCCGTAACGTATAAAAAATATTAGAGTGAGGATCATCTCTAATTCGTAAAACTAATGATGAATAAAAGCTATCGAAATAGTGCAGTCTTTGATTTTATAGTACATATACCAAGTACATATATAGTATCCAGTATATTGGATTAGTTTTAGATAAAATATTCCTTTTGTGTTGAAATTTAAACTTACCCGCTATTAACAACGTTTTGCCATCTAGTTTACAAATTTTCATTTCTTGATCGATAAAATAAATTTCCCCCCAGTAAAATAACTGCGGATAATATTTTAGACTTCATCCATATTTCATGTTTTTTGCCTTTCAGAAAGTTTTATAGCTAATCGGAATAAATGGTAGGGAGGTTGGTACTTTATTTACGTCACACTAGAGCTGCCCAATGGGTTATTGGCGACAGTCCGGGAAGCATCCCTGAGGATGGTCCGAAGACATGTCATCGCAATTTTCATCCTCTGCGGAGAAGATGGCTTCCTGCTTTGATAGTCCGACGACTTGTTCGTGAAATCAAGCACTTTATGGTAGAACAGTTTAACGAGGACCAATACCACGCACTCTCGGTTCCTACGCAGGAAGATGAAAGTGGTCACTCACCGCTTACCGACCACAGCAGGTGATTCTTGACTTCGATGTTCTACTGGGAGCCGTGTCTTTAAGATCAGTCTACTGCGGAACCGAAATAAATGAAAGTTCCATGTTCAATATTGGTTGAGTATATGATAGGATTAGCATTATATCCCTACCTAATTAATTAATTTTCCCCCCAAGATTTTGGATCTCTATAAATAGGAAAAAATCACAATTATTGGATGTGAGCACAGAAAACCATCTTTGACCTTATAAACGTCTAATGCATTTCGCGATAAACATCGCAAGTATTTTTGGAAGCAACTGTTCTGCAAACTTTGTTGAAACTCAAAAAGAATGCCATGTTGAATATGTACTTCTTCAGGTGTTTGGTTGGCCGTTTCTGCATAAATTGAAAAAAAATATTATTTAATAATTTAGGAGAAAACAAGTCACTCTGAATGTCGTTTGCGTGACTTTGAAGTTCACAATGAGCTGATAAATAACAAGCGAATATTTAAATGCATAGAAACGACATTATTTTCTGATTTTCCTAATGTATTTTCTATAGAATTTGAAAATCATCAAAAGATTAAGATTTAGTAATTGACGAAAAAACAAATCATTCTAACCTTAAAATGTGTTTAGCATGATTTCGAAATCTGCAAGCTGGATGCTGATAAATGACAAACAAATATCGACATGCGCAGAAACGACATTATTTTCTCGTAGAACATATTTTCTCACCAGGTTGAAAGTCGCCAGAAGGTTATTTTCAGAATAATGACAAATTTAAGAATATTCATTCATATTTTTAATTTAAGATAAAGAAACAATTCTTACCTCCCTCTCATTATTACCAAATCCGATGCCTAAGTTAGGCATCGCCCTCAAAATGGCTACCATACTCTGTATTGTGTTACTATAAACAACGGGCTTGTACTGTTTAAAATCTTCTTGCGTAAAACCACTGTCATGAATAATTCTGAAAAAGAAAACAAAAAATACATCAATTTCATGATTTACCTTAATAAATTCACATTACTATCCAAATAAACAGTGGGATAGACTCTAGTTTTTTTTCCAACTTTTTAAACAATAGGATTCTAAACATACTCGGATAAAAATCGGTTCAACATTGAACCGATTTGTTATAGATGTTTTGAACCGTTTTATGGTACAAATTTTTCCCAACGTTGATAAGGTAATTAATTTATTAAATTTTCCATTCACAATTGTTTGGTGCAAAATGTTATGTACTTAAGTACAGTGAGCGAAAGAAAAAAAAAGATATTACCCTGAATAACTTTCATTCTAATGATCGTATTTTGAGGTACTAAAAGAAATCTGAATTGTTTCTGGGATTGACTTCAAATATACTAATTAATTAGTGCTAACTATTAATTAAGTTGCGAAGTCACACACAGAAACGCACTTTCTCTGAATAAACACACATATTTTTAACATATTTGGATTCCTGACCATCAAAATAGGGGTAGACAAAATTTTAAGTAATTAGATCAAACTTTAGGGTGCTGGGAAGTTTTATATATGTGGCGTCGTCCCAAAAAGCTGCCAAGAATTATCGCCACAGCAGGAATTTAATGTAACCATACTCTAGCCGCGTAATCGGCAAGAGAAAAATACTCCACTGCTAAGCAACCAAGCTGAGAGAATAAAAAATAATGCAATAAAAACTGGAGCTATTCTTCATTTTTGTGTTAACTCTGGTCGGAAAGACTTGATTTTCAAAAATAGTTAATAGAAAAATATCTTTAAGTTTCTAGGAACAGATTTGTTTTTAATTGATTACTGCCAAAAATGCAAAGATAGCTTTCGTTTTCATCTCCTTTAAAAATAAACTTTGTACCGATTTATAAATTATCTATAATTTTCCAAGATTTTAATATTTGAGCACATGAACTTTTTATAAGGCATTCTTTGTATCTAAATTATTTTCATCTTTTTTATATATGAAGATTACATACTAAAACCAAATTTGCATAATTTTTATTATATACAGGGTTGTAGGGCAAATCACGAAAAAGACACCGTTAAAATTGTAAAATATCGGGCGGGAAGAAATCATAATGCACATTTACAAGGTTTTCTATATATTTCTTTTACTTCTTTTATATTTCTTTACGGCGATATTTCTTTTTTTCTTTATAATTGAAGAAATTAGTTAATGTTACGTGACATTTTTAAAAGATTGAAAAATGCATGTTTAAGAATATTGTACAATTTAATTTTTAAAAAATCGCTTCATTCTACCAAATATGTGAGTTACCTGACTTTCTTTAGATAAAGATAATTTGCAAATAGCATCCTGGTGTTTTTATACATTCCGAAATCAATTTTCGTAAATTCACCATAAAATGTCGCTTAACATGTTCAACAATTACAATCACCAAATAATGCTAAATAATTTCTTTGCTTTATTACTTTTGTTTAAAACTTATTTTACGATTCTTACCATCATTACATACATATATCTGATACGATAGTCTCCTTTTAAACAGAATTCGTAAGGTCCTTAAGAAACTGTAATAACGGCAGCAAAACTAAGAAGATAAATGTATTTTATTGCAGTTATATTCACCATAGTATTAAATAATCAATTTCAATATATAGCTTCAAATATCTGATAACAAAATCTTAAGTTTAGAGCTTTTAATTTTAGAGTTAAAAATAACTTATTTCAATATTACAGTATTACTTATTTACATTATTTCAAAATAGATGCATTAATTTCATTAATGTTTTAAAGACGGCATGAACCCTGTTGAAATGATAATTTACAGATGTTTGCTTCCTTCTGCATAAGATTATGATCAAAATAATGATCAAGACGGATCCATTATACTTGTCGGTAAAAACTTCATTGGCTTCAAGAAATATGAAGAAACCAAACGCCCGTTCTGAAGACTCGCAGGATGTGAAAAAAGTGATATGAAACAGAAATGTGAAGTTGAAACAAGAAAACATAAGTAAATGCGGAAAATAAAACTTGAAAAACCGCAATATCCTGGAAAGGCAAATCAGGGCAAAATGCATTTCCTCATCTCCATTGTGAAATTAATATGGTTAACAAGAGAAGCAGCATTCATGTGAACAAAATAAGATTCCCGGGTATCAAGATAATGGGCCGGGTAATTTGGCAGGGGTGGTTAGAATTTTGTCATTATCGAGATTAAATTTATCTCCAAAGTGCAAAGAATGTGTAGGAATAGATTTGTCGTATTCTTGAAAAGGGACTTATCTACTGTGTTCCTTTAGTCCTTCGAGAGCGCTGAACGTTTGCTTCAAACGTTGCAATTCTCAGGGCTCGCTAGACGTTAATGACTAGTGACGTGAATTTTTGAGTGCTCAAAACGTGTTGATTTTTATTTACAGTTTCATATTTTTAGAAGGTACTGAAATTTTTATCTTCCCGCTTTAGTTTCTGGGGATTATCTATTTAATAATACAGTATATTAAATTAAAATATTTAATGCGATATTAAAATTAGTTTAACGTAAGATGGTGATTATGGTTCTTAGATTGAGAAAAACATATATAATTCATCAAACTTTCTAAGAAATTCAAAGCCGAACATTTTTCTTTATTTATTCATTCATTTATTTATTTATTTTAGTTTGTTTTATTTATTTATTTTAGTTTTATTTATTTATTTATTTATTTTTTGACTGCCGCTCTATAATACTTTTTTTAGGATGTTAAACAATTCCGCCTACAGTTGAAATGAAGTGGCTCGGTGGCGCAGTTGGTTTGTCGTCGCCCTTCTGAGCCCAAGTCTGCGGGTTCGATCCCCGATTCAGACACCGGATTTTCGGAATGCAGAAAATTCTCAGCTGCCATGTCGTATGATTATGCGGCATGTAAAAGATCCCTGGAGTGCCTTATTGGCTCTTGTCATTTCCGCCAAAATTAAATTCCTTGTGCACTTTATCATCCAAATAGAGTCTCGGTGCTGCCATCTAGTGTGGCAGAAACTAGACGTCCAAATTAACATGAACAACGGTATCTCACCCATTGTGGTGGTCCTGAAGGAGTGGATGCCACCTCTGGAGAACGCGCTAGGTCTGCTCATCGTCACGTCAAGACCGATTGTGCAGCTCATTGGAAATTTAAAAAAAAAAACAATTGAAAACAATATTTTGAACGAGTTAGCATCTCCGCCCTATTCGAAATTTTTAGAAAATATATTTTTTATTCCTCGATCCAAAATCTATTCTAGATATGTTCTAGTGTATACTTAAGGACATACTTTAATAGAATTTATCTTTTAATCCTTATTTTATTTTTTTGCTTAAATTACTCAAGTTATATGATTAAATGTATGAATAGTAAGTATGATGGTAAACGGTGCTTCTTACTACTTTTCCTAATTTTTCCTGCTGATCTTAACGGAATAAGTTTAATTTTAATAAGTTTAATTGTTTCTAACTGTTTCAGGCAATTAATATTACGTCCAAACAGATTTCAATTGAATTCAGGTTAACTTAATAATTCTCACGTTTTAATTTAGCATAACAGAAAAATTAAAATGTTTTTGTTTTTTTTACGTCAAAATAAAATAACATTTTATATTTCTAATTTCTAAAAGAAGTATATTAAAACTATTTGCTGAACATATTAATTGCAACTATAAGATAAATTGTGATCCAAAAATTTCTTAATATATCTCATTTTAGTACAAAGGAAATTCTAAAGTTAGGAAAAGAGCATTTTTTGAAATCTTTCTACAATTTTCTATTTTCAGTTTTGCTGTTTAACTCAAATAACGCACATCGAGCATTTTCCTGATATAATAATATTTTTTGAATTGTGCTAAGGTTGAGAAATAATATTAACTTTTTAAGCAAATTTTTTCAACATTATCCTTTTTAAAAGAGCAACTTTCTTAAAGTTAGCGGGAAAGAATAAGTTTGAACGTCAAAATAAAAATGCGTTTCCATATTTGCTAGTTCATTTAAAAAACAAAGCAAACTGTTGTATTTCTTGCTGTGCACACATACGCATTTACTTTTCATTACTCAAATACATGAGAAATAATAAAAAAAGACATCTCTTTATCTTCTGTGAATTAATCTGACAAAAGACAATTAATTTATCTTTATTTTTCAAAAAAATAGCATACTTAGTAAATAGTCAGCCGTTTTGCATCGAATAATTTTGATCAGCAGAATATTTTAAATTTCTTAACAAGATTTAATTTTCAGTTTTCTTTTAATAAAAACTTAACAATAATTTAAAAAGGTATTTTACTTTAAAATCAAACCTAAATTAAAGTACTAAAACAAATGATTAATATATAAATAATATACGTGGTAGTGTAAAGAATTAGATTTTGAGGAATGTTAACATTTAATTAAATAGTTGGTAAAGTAATTCAGTGAAACCCGAGTGAACAGAGATTAAAAAAATTTATTTTAAGATTAAGACGATTTATAAGATGTTGAGAAATTTTAAGATGCTTAAAAATGTTGACTGCGTATTCGTACTAATAGTTATTGATTAAAAAAATATATTTTTTCAAATCTATGCATACGTTTTTATATAATTGAAATTTTTTCTATTGAGAGAACAAACTGAAAATAAAATTTAAAAAATCTGATGTCTAATCACATTCTATCAGAAACATACTTTTATAAAACTTGACATTCGTTGAATAAGGTGTTTTTCATTAAATAAAATTTTTATTCAGATCTCTTTATTAAATTACGAATAAATTTTTAGACGAATAAAAAGGAAACATAGTATTTTATAATTAAAAAGAAGGATTAGCAATCTGCTATTAGCGAAAAAAATACCAATGAAATTTTCACTACGCCCGCGTAAGTCAAGTCTCTCGTGAGTTATCTATATTTAAATCTTAATCGCCCCCCTTAAAACATTTCTTCATTATCACCAAATTATTTTTTTAAAATTAATTAATTTTAATTCTTCTTGGCTTCTACTTAATAAAAACTGTTGAAACTT